GGAGAGGCTCACGCTGCAGCTGCACTTGCTAGCAGTGAGCCCAGTGTCTGGCGCCCATCAGTCAGCTTAGTGGCGCTCCCACTGTGGGAGCGCACTGACCACCAGGGGGCAGCTTCTGCATTGAGCGTCTGCCCCCTGCTGGTCAGTGCACGTCATAGTGACCGGTCAACTGGTCGTTTGGTCATTTGGTTGCTTAGGCTTTTATATATATAGATAGCATAGTCTATAAACCTATACTTTTCTTACTTACTTTTATTTGTGCCTAAAACTCTACTGCTAAGTGAAAAGCCATTCTTTGAAAAACATATTTCCTTCAATTTCAGTGAAAAATTGTGATGCAGTCCATCCAACCCAATAGCCAAACAATTTTTACTGATGGGAAAATTTATTAACTGACCAATAAATCAAGTTTATATTTTTAAAAACCCAGTGATACAAGTATAAAGATACAGTTTATATATAAAACTTATTGTAATGAAGGTTTATTGTGCCCGTTAAAGGAGTAATGAAGACTTTTAACATGGGTGATGAAGGATGGTGTGAGGGAATCATTATTGAGAAGGTACATAGTTCTCTCGACACCATTTCTTCACTGTTTTTCAACCTTCTGGAGACTTATGGCTATCTTACAAAATTTTTACTTAAAAATGAAGTTATGGCACAGAAAAATGTCTTGAGGGCAAAGGAAGCCCTTTGAAACACATGGAAATAGCTTGTGTACTCAACAGAGCACAGAACGTGGAAGCCGCCTCTGCAGCCCTCCAATGGGCATGTGCAAAACAAAGCACATGGGGTTTACCCGAACCCGGCAAGCAAGGCAGGTTTGTTCCCTAGGCCATCACTGGGCTAGAAACGGTTATATTCTGACATCCCTGAAAGTGTGCTGTCAGAATGTCATGTTTATTTGGTATACTCAGGGAAGAAAAAGTCATTATGCTATAGTGGTATTGTTACAGAAAAACCGGAGAAGAACCAAGCAACACTCGTTATGGAGTGTTTATTTGGTATATTCAGGGAAGAAAAAGTCATTATACTATAGTGGTATTGTTACAGAAAAACCCGAGAAGAACCAAGCAACGCTTAGAGAGATGGAGTTACATTTATTATTATTACGCGCAGGCCCAGAGGAAAATGTCTCTCAAATCTGGGCGAAATCGCACAGGAAGTTTCCTGTATTTATACCATTTTACCTTCTTTGTCTCCCAAATATGGGGTTCTGTTCCAGTCCCCTTTGCAAGTTCTTAAAGAGCCCCTATGTCTTGGCGCTTTGAGACCTCGACCAAAGGCTTGGCCTGACGCCAGCCCTGATAACTCCGTCTGGGGAAGGTTTAATGGCCTCTCTGAAATGGGGGTAGTCTTATTTTCCTTATTATTTAAGCCAGCAAGCATCTACAGAAGCCAGAAATAGCAGGGTTAACATTTCAAACAGCAGTTTTTATATAGGATGGATGCTTCAGTATAGGTTTTTTAAGAGTCATTATGGCAAAAAGTTAATTGAACAGATAAGTCTATAGACTGAACTTTACCTGCCTTTTTCTATGTACACGGAAAGTTTTGAACAGCGGAGTAGCATGGCTAGACCATGATTTTTAAGAATTCTTTCTGGCAAGCCCTGGCTGGGCAGCTCAGCTGGTTAGAGCATTGTCCCATACAGCAAGGTTGCGGGTTCGACCTCCAGTCAAGGCACATGCAAGAACTAACCAATGAATGCATAAATGATGGGACAACAAATCGATGTCTCTCCCCGCCCCCACCCCGCTTCTTCTCTTTTCTTTCTCTTTCTCTCTCTCTCTCTCAAAAAAAAAATTCTGTCTGGCAGTTGGTTGAGTGAGGATGTAGCCAGAGGGACAAGTCTTAGAAGAGAAAGGTCAGGGACTAATGAACGTGTCCAAGTAAGAAACAATGCGGTCAGTTGGGCAGAACTGAGTCCCGACAGAGGCCCAAACACATATGAGGATTCTGAGAATGAGAGAGGTTGTGTTTCAAATCTGTGGGAATTATGTTGAGATCATTTCATTTGGGGGAAGAAAAAGTAAAGCTGAATCTCTGTTTCAATCTACACACAAAAATAAAATCCAGATGAATCAAAGATTCGATAATAAGAAATGAAACAGAATATCAAAGAAAACATTGAGTGAGTTGAAAAAAACAAACCTCTGAGTAGGGAAGCATGACACAAAATTCAAGAGTCAGAAAGGAAAAAAAATTGACTCCATAAGAAGTGTAGACGTGGAAAACATATAATATGCTAGTCAAAGGGCTAAGTGAGAAACACTAACTGTTACATTGACTATTTCTTTTGGATTCAAAAAACTGTAATGAATAAGAAAACAATAAATGCCTCATAAAAATAGATAAGGTATATGAATAGGCTTTAAATGAGCTGATAAGAGGCTTGACCTCACTCACAATTAAAAAATAGTTTTTGGCCCCACCGGCGTTGCTCAGTGTCGACCTATGAAATAGGAGGTCAGGGCACATACCCCGGTTGTGGTCTCAATCCCCAGTGTGGGGCGTGCAGGAGGCAGCTGATAAATGATTCTCTCTCATCATGCTCTTCCTCTCTTATATCAATAAAGATATATTTAAAAAAAAAAGTTTTGGGCCCAGCCAGCCTGGCTCAGTGGTTGAGCATCAACCTATGAGCCAGAAGGACACAGTTTGATTCCTGGTCAGGGTACATGCCCGGCTTACAGGCTTGATCCCCACTGTGAGGTGTGCAGGAGGCAGCTGATCAATGATTCTCTGTCATCATTGATGTTTCCATCTTTCTCTCCTTCTCCCTTCCTCTCTGAAATCAATAAAAAAAAAGTTTTGGAACAAAATAATGAGATGATCCTTTAAAACAAGAACGACAAGGTTGCACACAGTCAGCTGAAGCGGTGCTGGGCGGAAGCAGGCCTCCTACTCTGTCGTTGGAGTATGAACCAGCACAGCCTCTTTGGGGGGCAATCTGGATATATCAGTTTTCCCTCCAAACTTTTAATGACAAATTTCAAACATAGAAAACTTGAAAAAATTGTACAGTGAACAACCACACATCACACTTAGATTTTACAATGGTCAACATTTTATTTTTTCACGATCACACATAGTATATATAGTATATGTAGGGTGTCTCAAAAATGTATACACACTTGAACAGCTGACAGCTCACTTAATTTTCACTCCTTTTTAGGTTTAACTGATTTGAAATAATGGGTGAAGCCAGACTAAGCTTTGAACAAAGAAAATTTATCCTAAAGTGCCACTAGACATTTTTTATGGGAATACATTAAAGATAAAGTTTACAGGACAAAACTGGCAACAGTAGGTGAACTGAGGGCACACAAATATCAAATGAAATGATTCTTGATGTTTTTGATTCCATTGCTTCTCGTTATCAGCGGTGCCTGGACCAGAACGGTCATCAGTTTGAAAACAGGCATTAACAAAAAATTTATTCATTTATGTAGATTCCTTTAAATTTTGAAAATGAACGGTGTATTAATAAACACTGACTTTATAATTATTCAAAGTGTATATACATTTTTGGGGAACACCCCATATATATTATTTTTTAAAAAATTTAATTTTAGAGAGAAAGAGGAAGGAGGAGAGAGAGAAAGGAGGGAGGGAGAAAGAGAGAAATATTGATTTGCAGTTCCGCTTATTTATGCATTCATTATGCCCTGTATGTGCCTTGACCGGAGATCAAACCTGCAACCTTGGTGTATTAGGACGACGCTCTAACCAACTGTGCTACCCAGCCAGGGCCATATTTATATGTTTATATATTTATATTATATATTACATAAAACATATATGTATATACTAGTATATATCCACCCATATATGTATCTGTATGCATCTATCCATCCATCAACTATCTTATATTTCAGCATATATATCAACTAGAGTTCAATATTTACATAGGGTTGTTTTTTTCAGGTAAAATTCACACAAATTTTAAGTGGACGACTCAATGTGTTTTTGACAAATGCACACACCTTTGTAATCCAAACTCTCCAATAAGATATACGGTATTTCCATCACCCCACAAAGTTCCTTCCTGTCCCATCCCTGCTAATCCTCACAGGCTATTTTTTTAAAGATATGTTTTTATTGGTTTCAGAGAGAGAGAGAGAGAGAGAGAGAGAGAAACATCAGTGGTGAGAGAGAATTATTGATCAGCTGCCTCCTGCGGACCCTCTACTGGGGATCAAACCCACAACCCGGACATGTGCCCTGACCGGGATCGAACCGTGGTTCATGGGTAGACACTTAACCACTGAGCCACACCAGCTGGGCAACATTTTTTACTATAGGTTCGTTTTGCTGGTCCTAGAACATTATACAAGTGGAATCATATAGGAGATACTCTTTAATGTTAGGCTTCTGTCACTCGGCATAATGATGTTTGTGGCTCACCCACATTGCTGTGTGTGTCTGTTGTCCATTCCTTTTCACTCCCGAGTAGTGTTCCATGGTGTGGAGAGACCACAGTTATTTTATCCCTTCCCCCATGGACGGGCATTTGGGTGGTTTCCAGTTTGGGACTGTTACAAATAAAGCTACTATAAACATTCTTGTGCAGTTATTTTTGAGGACATATGTTTTCTCTTGAGTCTGAATGTATGCAGACCCTCACCCTGGGACTTACTATTTTTACTTCGGTACAAAGACTCAGTGATGAGCGTGTGCTATGTGACAGGTACAGGAAGTGCGTGGGGAGAGGTGTGAGGAGTGTTTCTGGGGGGAGGCCCAGGGAAGACCCCCTGGAGAAGGGACCCTGGTGCGGACACAGCGAGGTTCCGTAGGAGGATCAGGGCCTTGGGTCAGACACACCTGTTCCAGTCCTGTTCCCGTGGGGGCGGGGGGAGGTCCTCGGGAGTCTTGCTTTTCTCATCTGTGCGGTGGGGATGATGACACTGCAGGGCTTGATGGGATAACTGGCGAAAAGGCCCCGCCATGGCTTCACCAGGTGCCTGTTTTGTTAAATATTCCTCTTTTCTTCATAGGCCTGGCTCCTCTGGGGGCCTTCAACGTGGATGAGAACTGGATCCGGGTGACTCCTGAGGAACACGGGCCTTATGTGCTCAGCTCCCTTTTGCACCAAGACCCCAGCAGCAACCAGACCTGGTGAGTGGGGCCCGGCACAGGCAGCCTGAGGACCGAGGGGCCCCAGAGAAGGCCTTGGCACCCCCCCCCCCCCCCCCCC